GAAAACATTGACACAAATTTGTTTAAGAGCTGGTATTGAAGTACTTATTATAAATGTCGTTAATATGGTTCTTGGAAAAGTAATTTTCTGTAGAACAATGGACTTTGTGTAATTTTTAATGCTGTACTTATTTTAATATCCGCAATAAATCGATCGTGACCTCATTTCTTTAAGTTTCGTAGTAAAACGCGCACGTGTAATACAAAGGAAGAAAATGAAAGACTAAAGAATGGAATTGCTAGATGGAACAGAAATCAATTAGAAACACGCACTATGAAATCGTTGTGTGAAAACTGTCGTAAAATACTAAATTATCCGGATAATGCTAATTGGCATCATTAGCCGAACAGCGTGACAATTGGTGTTTCTCCTTCTGATTCATTAGTCTAGGTTTCATGCTTCAGAGAGGTTTTGACTTAAATACTTCTGAGTTATTTTGTTAATTTTATGCTCTACTTTGGGACCAAGAAAATTAAGAAGCACACGACCACGACTTAATAAGGTAATGGCAGTGCCCTTGTGAATTAAAGCTGCAACAGTTTGACAGTGAATCTGTCGGAGAATTGAGCTGAAATGAAGTTCCTAAAATCAGTTGCTGGGATTGGCATGGAGCTTAAGAGTAATGCAGAAATAGAGAACCTGTTGAGTGAATATAATAAGAACTTGGAGGTATAAAACCAAAAGAGAAATTGATACGAACACATCTTAAAAATTGACTAAAGTAGACTCCCAAAGATGTTGACTTATTAAATTGCAAAGCAGGGACACGGAGAAAGAAGACCCAAGACAATGTGAAAAGCTGGATTAAACTGAAGATGGAACAGGAAGGAAGGGCCTAAGGGGAAATGAGACGGACATGGTGGAGAGTAGTTTAAATTTTTTTGGGAATATTGACTCATAAGGAATCTTTTTATCGGCATGTAATTCTTGAAACTTACAGCCAAGAAATCCTGGTGAATGCGTTCAGCTTCTGAAGTGGAATCAATTCTTAACGCGCGAATAATTCCGGAAGATGAAAACGATGTTAATAGCAGCACGTTACTAGCTGAGGTGTACTGGAATACGATGTCTGATTTTACAGTGCTCGTAAATTAATGTAAGGGCAGTTCATTTTGTGTCTAGAAATATCAATGATGAATGGGTAATTTAGATTCCGCCCTCAGTAATAAAATGCTGTCAAGCAAAGTAGAACTAACAGACGCCTATCGCATTTGCCCAGCTAGTGGTCCAAGTAGAGGAGGATTCGCCTTGGACCTGACGTTCATGTTAGCAGTTGTGAATGACTGAGTCACTTGGTAAATTTCTTGTTATTGGTTTTCCAGAAAAGAAACATAAATTGGTGGCCGTTACCTGTCCATTTAAGAGCACTCCACTTGCCCTCTTGACCTGGCCAAACTACTACCTGTGTGTGGCCCCCACAAGCATTTGACCACACCCGGATACACAGCCTGGATCCTTCCGGCCGTTTCTTGTAGTGCAGAATACCATATGGGGTCAAATTAAAAAATGCATTAAATGTGTGTGTAACAGAGTTAGGCTGTGACAGATTTTGAATACAAGCGTTCTAGGTTGAAATTTAAAGATTCAGATGTCTTTCGCATGTTACAAATAGCCAACGCAGCATTGTAGCTACAATACAAATTGTCACGCGCGCACACAGTTATGTTTCATGAATCTAGTGATTCTCTGTGCCCTTTGACACAACGTCTATATTTTAGTGTTTGTTTTAAACACGTCTTTCAGAGTTTGAATCTATTCATACCCGTTGAAATTATTTCACCTCGTTCGTCTTGAATGGTGTTTTGCCTGTTACCTTCGAGAACGTTTTGTCAAACCGTGGTTTATCTTGAAGTACCCTCTTTTTCAAAGAAACTGTGGCATTACGCCTGGTAACTTTTCGCAAACCCTATGACTTTCTTTCAATCAACTCTTGTCTGAACGATTTGAATGAAGAAAAGACGAAGATGTTGATATCGATAAAGTTTCTCCGTTAGAACTAGATGTTTCTTCATAAGAAATTTATTTTCTTTTTGGAGATGTGGGTTGCTGAGCTGGCCTCACGCGGCTGCCGATGGGCGAAGGAAAAGGGCAGGGCTCCCTAACGGGTGGTGTGTCGGGGAACTAACCTGACACGTCATCAGCAGGAGGCCAGTTTCACATTGGCTCTTGGGTTCCACCACATATATTTGTGTTTTATGATTTGAGTACCCAACATCAGCTCATGGCAAGGAAGTGTACCGCATCTCCTGCTGATACTCTCACAGAGTGGACTGTCTGCAGTCTTCGTACTTACTTCAAAGGCCATTCCTGTGTAGTTTTTGTATCTTGAAGTAATTGACATTTCTCCGTTGTTGTCTAAGAACGTAAATATTAAAATATACAAATCAATAATTGTCATTTTGGTCTCCTGGGATGTGATGCCTTTTCCAGACACTTTGGTTACCGCCTGCAGGAAAATATGGAGCCACAACCCGGAAGACAACGATATCTTTACCACCGTGAAATCTTCAAATTACGTATTGTTTTACCTGTTGTTCTGATCGGGAGTCGAACGTGGTTTCTCACCTTGAGGGAAGAGCACAGATTGAAGGTGTCTGACAGCAGAGTGTTGATGAAATTGTATGTACCGAAGAGGTATACTCTTCACCAAACTGATAAATGAAAAAAGTAAGGGATAGCCGGGGCATGCAACACGCAATGGAGGGACGAGATATTAATACAATTTTTTTTTCGGAATAACTAAAGAAATGAGAGAATTAGGTAGATTAGGTGTAGATGAAATAACTGGCTCTCGTTTCAATCAAACCTGTAAGCATCAAATTAATTTTGATTCCAATTGCATCTCGCCCGTTACATGACTTTGGAAGCATCCATAAATTTAATTTAATTCTTCTTTGATAATAACTGATCTTAAATTTTATTTACTGTCTCTAGTTGACACCTTTTATCGGGTATAGGTCTTCAGTACATAGACTTCAGTGTTTATTACTGCTGAGGAAACAATTTATTGTCTTCTAGGTGGGACTGTGAGTTGGTGGGCTCTGAGTTTTGTTTATGTAAGGACACTGACAGTAGCTCTGGCCATATAGCGTCATTGAGTTGGTGGACTCCGTGACTAATCACAAGATGCGTTGAACTTAACAACCATATGTGAATCGAAGATGCAGACGAATTACTGCTACGTAAAGCTGTGCATTTGCGAGGGATGGCAGGAAGGAAACGAGGCTTGAAATTTATTAAGTTTGGAGTTGTGAGGACGACTAAACGCAATGAAGTCCTCTCCGGCGAACAGCGGCGTCGATACTGAACAAAACTTGAAACTGGCTTAATTATCAGTTCTTCACAGGGCTTATGTCGACAGAACGTGATTTATTTTGCGTTATGAAGTTGTGCAACATCCTGTTCAGCCTCCTTCACATTCCATCTTCGGGGAGTAAAAGACTGGCGTGTTTTTCGTTCAGTTAACAGATAAAAGAGTGTCTAGAATATAAAACGTTTTAAATTATGGAAACCATGAAAATTTGACAAGGAAGAAGATAGAATCGAGAGAATGCGAGTGGAGCTGATAAATGAAATTGGCCAAATCTGTAAGTGGTCACGGAACAAACCTACTTATCTGGATCGTTAAGTGCCTTCGTTGCTGTTCAGTGAAGGGAACTCCCCTCGGGCCGTATTATGTCGCCGTAAAAAAGCTGCCTGATGAGACAATTAAAAAGGAGGATTCATCGTGCCCTTTTATATCGTTTTCGTACAGAAATAAGCTTCATTTACAAATTAATAAGTTTTTCGGCGTATTGTTGTGTTTTTACTCCTTAAAAGAAGAAATTGGACTGATGCAATTTTCAGTACAACTTAAAATACATCATTCGAGTTTTGAAGGCTATAATTTCCTGTTGATATATGACGTATTTTTAATCACAGAAGAGTCCTGAATGGCACTTGGAAGTATCATCTATGTAATTGGATTAAATGTATTTTTATTGTTGTTTATTTTATTTAGTTTCTTGGAAATGTCAGCTTTGAGCGTAGGCCACTAGTGTGAAGTTTTTGTATATTCCACTTATATGTATGTTCTCTGGTTACTGACGTATGTTTTGTGAATTTACTGACCGCATTTCAGATTATTACCTTTTAGGTGATGTACAGTTTTCTTTGAAAAACCTCGGGCAAGAAGCTATTCCGAAGCCTAGGAGTAGATGGGACGATAATATGAATAGGTTAGGCTATTTTAGACGCAAGAACCTGAACGTTTATAAAGTCGGGAACATTTTTGACCATTCGGCTAACTATCGAGTGCTGAGGGAATTCTCCAAACCACGAAAATTAATTACTAATCAATTATTTGGCGAGTTAATCGATTAATTAATTCTTAGTAGTATATCAGTGCTCATCCAGCAAACCATGGCCACGTTCTTCTCTGTTCTCCATTCATTCTTCGATTTTCCATTCGACATTAGGTAACGTGCGGCCGATAATTTATAGTTAAATAAACAAAAAATAATTTATTTTTAGCCAATTTACTATGAAAGAATTGGGTTCTAACAGAAAACATTTTAAGTGCGCGCATACTACGCAGTTTCTGTGGTTAATGCCATCCCAATCCATGTACTTTGATCGTAAACGTGAAATATAAATTATTAATTAAAAAACAATTTCTAATCGTCATTATCCTTCCTCAAGAAAATACTACGTTTTGGGAGATGGCTGTTCCTCGTCATCAGGCGAAACTACACAGTCGGGCCCGACTGAAAGTTAAAAATAAAATAAAATCAACAGCTCAGGCGAAACTGCACAGTCGGGCCCGATTTAAAGTTAAAAATAAAATAAAATCAACAGTATCGTCAATAATATTTAAAGAAAAATCAAGTGTAATTTTTTTTCCGTCATGTATAAACAGGTCGTGGCAACACAGTTATTCGTTTTTAAACATTGATGCTGAAAGTGCGTGTCTACTCTTAACATGACTTGCTTATGTTGACGGAAATATTTCAATATTGAGATCGTATTCTTTTGTAGTTTATTGGCGGCTTCGATTCCAGTTTACTTCTTATTACAATGTTACATTCTGAGAACATTCATCAACACTAGACACTTATTTAGACTATACTAACATCTCTGTTCAGCACAAATACATATTTTTAAGATTTTGATTTTCTCGTATATCTATCAAGTTAATTATTTAAACGTACATACTAATTAGAAAACTCATGAAATATTTTATAAAACGAATTTACTTCTATAGTCTGCTACTTAGAGAAAATAAAAAAAAACAGTACAAAATATCAGATTTCCAGCCAGTAATTCTATCATAACACTTAACAAACACACGATATTAATCCATATATTAACCAATTTACGATTACTGCAATATTTTACTCAAGTTTATGTCATATGTATTTCTAGAAACTAACTAATTATAATATCACTTAGTTTTATGATGCGTTATAAATTTACAGAGGAATAGTTATATTTTTATTAGTTGGGATTTCTCTGCCATCTATTGGCTCTGATATAGTACTGAATTCTATATACATTCATGAAAAATGTACACACTATAATTTATACACAAAGACACGTACCTAGTTTATTTTAATTACTTATTAGTTGACAAATACCACCTAGCTAAATCATATTTCAGTAGATCTAATTACATATATGGTAACATTACATCTAGTGCAACTTTGGCTGAAGTGTCTAATTTGTTAAACATTTGTTGTGAGATTAACATAATATAAGTATACACCTATTTCAATTCGCGGCGTGGTCTCAAAGAATATTACTTAATTGTTCTTGAAACAGCATTTAATATTACTTTATTCAGTTCACAGATCTGAGGTAGAGGTAGAGCCACTTGCTTAATTTAAGTAGTTTTGATTGAGACGCGAGTGGAAGGAATCGTGGAGAATGCATTGTATTCTAGATTTTTGTATTATGTATCGAGAACATTAGTATTAAAGAGTAGGAAGATAATTATAATAAAGATGAAAAATGCCATCGTCTGGATTTCTATGAGGGAATTCGAAAAGAAACCAGACTAAGTTTGATGTTGCACCTGTATTTTATAATTTAACAGTTATTTTTTATATTTTTAAGGTCGCTTTGTACATTAATTAGCATCTCTGATGTTTGCAATCAATTAATTTTCCAACACGTTAGTTTGCCGTAATGTATCTGTACTACAGCTTAATCCATAATAATATTAGGCAGTATGTTAAACATAAAAGGTATGAATCACGTCTTTGAAAAGTGATTTTAGTGTTTCGTGTCCTTCATTTGCTGCGAAAACATGTCAGTATAAATCAGGACAGCTGCTTGTGGCAATATGTATAGACACTTATGTTATCTTACATTGAACTTCTAAGCTTTAATTCTATTTTTACCTTTAAAATATACGACCAGTTATGTATAACGCTCACTAATATCTATCAGATATTTTTATTCTATCCAAATAAAAATGTTGTTACCTCAAGTCTTCAGATGGTAATAAATCAGATTTCTCGTTAGAAATTAAATGCACGTGAGATTCAGAAAGACACTTTGTCGTTTAATCTGTAACACATTCACTGATTATTGTTTTTTCATAAGTATTAAAGTTTCTGTGACCATCTTCATAGATTCTGTAGGATCTTACCCATGTCATCACTATTAGAAAGATGATAACTCTAAAATGCCTAGTGCTGCAAGTAATGTTAAGGACTATTTTTCTTCACAAAACGACTACAGACATCTTGCATTGTACATGAATCACGCCACTCAACAAATATATCTATAAACTAATAATAATAATAATAATAATAATAGGAAGTGGTGTTATTAATATTTTGCTTACCATTCACTTCTATACATATCAGTCTTCTCTTATGGTATATCGATAACCTGTTCTTCTGTTGACATCTCATACCGTATTTACTGGCTTATAAATGGCACTGTGATTTCAACGGTAAAACTGTATTTACATCATAAACATTAGGTATTACAAAATCAGATATTTTAATGGACATTTTTGAGAGTCAAATTCGTCATATGTCAATTGCAAATAACTTTAAAGTTAAAATTATAGGCTTATTTTATTAACAACTGGTCTTTCCTTTTATTGGCTTCAGTGACTGAGCTTATCCTCTCTCTAGCCATTAATAGAGTTTAATGAAATTAATAGTTGTAGGTATTTAAATATTTGCACGCGCAATAAACTATGAGATTGGAATTTTTGCTCCAAGTAATCAAATAGTGTCCTTTTTTTAAATCCAACACAATATGAAGATTGTCTATTGTCTAGCGACGTTTTTCGCTATAAAATAAAATATAATCGTCTAATTCGTACTACTAATTGACAGTAAATGCATTGTGTAACAACTGACTTTAACTAATATTAAAATATCATAAATATCTTATGATTTAGTGCCACGTAAGAAAATTTAGAGCAGGAATCGAAGTTCATCAAAGTTCAACACGCTGGCCGTAGCACGTCGGCGGCAATAATATAAGTTTAAAATCAATTAAAAGTGTAGGCTTAATTAGTTTAAAAGGGAGAACACATCGGGTGCAATGATACATCATGTGTTTGTAGTCTTAACATAAGCCACATGAAGTGTAATAAAAGATTTTAATTCTAGAGACGGATGGACGAAATAATGAATGGTTGCGGTAAAACCACTGTTTAGACTAAATATGCCTGTCCTTCGTATCTAGCAGGTACCAGGTTCAAATACCAGAAAGGACTATTCGTGATGTTATTCAATTTTTCAAGGAATATGATGGGATAATTCCTTATATTAGGTTGCAATTGTTTCTACGTAATTGCCATTTCATAAAAACTGATTCATAATTTATCTCGCGACGCTGTAAAGCCAGTGCACGTGACGAACGTCGTTACATCATCCGTGAGCCTCTGGCTTTCCCATTGCAATCCACGTGTGTTGAACACTCTACAGTGTTCGTTTATCGAAAAGGCAGAACCATGCGATCAAACGAGAAGTGAAGATGTCATTCAGTCACCAGTACATTGTATTTCTTCAGATACGGCAAATATCGAGACTATGCTAAGAATATGTCCATTGGTGATGATATTGCGTTCAGGGACGCACGGCGCTCCTTGAAGCGTCTACCGACAGGAACAAGTGTCCACACTCATAGCCGGGTAGTTCTTGAGGACCACGTTGCCGGCGTCGTCCATGTATAGGAGCGTCATTGGCGACAGATGGTCGGGAACACAGCATGGCGCAGGAACGTCTGGTTGCATTCCAATAGCGTGGACGAGAGACTGGATTGTGGCGTGATTTGTCGGCTTCAGAGCCTGCGGTACAGTTAGAAGACATCTTCTAATTATCTTTGAAGTAACGTTGATGTTAAATCGAAATTAAAAGTTCTAAATCATTTTAAGGCAATATTTTGAACATGTGCTCTATGTAATGTATTTTAAACTCTTGCTGCTAGTAAGGAAGGAGATTGGATACTATTATTTTAAGCTTTGAATAAATCGATTGTGTGACAACGATTTATATCGCATCAGGAAAGTCGATTGAAGGATCTTTTATACTATAATATTTTTCCTGAAATGTTTACTCAGAGTCCCTTTAAGGAAATGTCGAGGTGTTACGTTAAAATAAAAACGTTGTCGTGATAATTTATGGTGCTTATTTGCATTCAGATGCTTCATTTCGTATTATGAGGCTAACTAAAATAATAAATTAATAATTTTACAATTTTGTGGTACCTTTACATTTAAAGTAGTTAACATGACAATAAACATAGGTAAGAGTTGTCAGCACTGCAGCAGTATGGAAATGACAATTTATAATACGTCATTGCACTCTTTAAATCTGCCAGCTGCCCTGGAATTCTCCTGACAGGTATTAATATGTTGAAATACAATAAACTGTGCATACTGCGGTCATACCACCATTGCCAATCTTGTGAGTCACAACTGGTGCTTGTTGCAGTGATAACACAATGTGATAACAAATATACTTACCCCTTCTAACACGGCCTAGGATCATTAATGAAAACTAAATTGGCCATATTATGGAGGGAAGAGGTGGTGGCCTAATTGGAGATAGTTTCCCTGTAATTTCTAAAGGAACTGAGCAAAATCATGAAAGATTTGAGTACGTAATCTCTCGAATCGTAATGTTAGTCGGTGCCGACGATCCATTAGAGCGATTGAATTAAGGATTAATTGGATGGTACTTGTAGTATTCAAGGGGCAAACGATAAAAGTACACAGAACTGTGGTCTGAAAGACTCGAGTGTTTATGCCTCCTGAATAACGTAGTCACTGGTGTGAGAATTACTTCAGAATGACTATTTTAAGTGGGACCCACTATATCGAGATTGGGTCCGATGCCAGGCTTTTGTGAACTTAATGCTAATCTTCGGGTAAAATAAAGACAAGGAATTTCTTGTTGTGAAGAGTAACTGTTGGCTACTCAATTAAAACCCCATGCGAAAAATCAATTATAGCAGTAGTTATACCACCTAATATGTGGAAACTGAATTATTGTTAATTATAAGTAATTTATTGTTACTTAAATTTTAATTAGTTCGAGTGCTTTCATATTTCTCCTGTCATCACGGTGAATCGAGTGCTGGATCAACATTCATCGTACATTCCAGTTTGTGAATTTTAGTTAATGTTACATAGTTTCTAAGTAAAACATTTGCCAGCAGTTTCCAAAACCCCGTACGGCATGGTAATTTAAAGACAGAAAACGTAGAATTCTGAACACAAATATTTAAGCAGACATGCCCACTTAGAGTTCTGTTGCCGATCTACCACTCAAGTGGGTCTCATTTTATTGAGACGTAACGGAAATGTTTTGTGTTGAACTTTATGTCAATAACATTAAAGGCTTTGGTTTCCGAGTATTCGGCTGGCTCTCGTGTTTCCCTCGTATCCATAAACGAGTGTTAATATACTTACACAGCCTTCGTTGCTGTTTCTTCTGTCCTCATGGGACCGCCTCCTTTTAGATGGCTAAAAAGCAGCGAGATAAGGGAAACAGTGACATGAAAAACACACATTCAACATATCCATTCACATTTTCACATTGAATCTTATGTGTTCCTATCATAACACACTCATCTAGTCGAGATTACTCTGCTTACTGTAAATTCTGCAGTCACGTGATGTTTCGTTTGACCTGTTCATTAAGCTTATAATTAACTGTCGTTAATTCTGAGTATCTGGCATGCAGGGAAGTGAATTCGACGTAAGGCTTTAAAAAATATAATAGTCGTTAGCCGTTATTGCCAACAAAGTATAAATAAGCATATGGATATTGTGATTACTGCAAATTATATAGTTATAAAGAAATAATTATTCCCTGTTGAATGATGTTAATGTGTAGTTTATTTGCCTTGTCAGAATGCTGTAATCATCTTAGGATGATTAAGATTAATAATGAATTGGAAAGAATATGAAATGGCGCGTTTGTATCCCGATTTAAGGTTCTATCCTGGTACTCGTCTGATGGGCTGAGGAAAACCACGATCAATATCAGTCGGACGAGTCGATCGTCGGCTTGGTATTAGAACCTGGGTCTCCCGAATACGATGCAGGGTTACTAATCACTCTACCATAATGTTCCTTGCTGTCTCCATCACCAGGGTGGTTGCGCTGTGTAGTCTGGTAGAAGTGTACCGACGTTTCACAGGTCCTTGCGGCCTCCATCATCAGGGCGCCCAGATGATGGAGGAAGCAAGGACCTTTGAAGCGTCGGTAAACGTCTAGCGGACTACATTGTGGAACAACCCAGATGACAGCCATCTTCAAAATTGCTTTTCTGTGTACTTGTTTATTCATCTACCTCGGGAAACTTTAGTGCGTTCCAGTAACGTGGAAGAAGCCAGTGCGAATTGTGTTGTTGGGGTAACCAGGGAGACACGAGTTGTATGGCTTCAGAAACCCTACAAACTGAAGAAATAAATCACAAACAGAGAACACATTTTTGGACGTACGGAAACTTCCGATCTTTTTTCACTCAGTATTTGAATTACTAGACGAAGCGTATTATCATGCGTTTAAATAAATGAATTGAATAACTAAATTAATGGACCGACAAAGTCATCCACTGTTTCTCCAGACTTTCTCTCGAATTATCCTTAGTTTTTCGCATTCAGGCAGTTTTGCGAAAAGAGGTATTGAGAAAATTTAAGTCTTGCCAGTATAGGCCTACACTGGCCAAATGAATAATGCAGGGGCTAATTAATCGGGGTCCGCCTGGTTTAAACGAAATCTCAGTCTGACTAAACTGGCCTAAAACCTTGCTTTGTTCATATGTCGTAAATATTAACTGTTTACAGCGACAATCTCAAAGTAGTCTCAAGATAGGATTTGAGGTTTTTACGGCGTTGAGTCCAATGATGGTTGTCTTCTGAGTATTAATTGCCCTGATGATGGAGGCAGCAAGAGCCTCTGAAACGTTTTAAACTCGTTTTCATACACCGGAATTTGAGCTGACTTCTCTGTGGTTTTAAGATGTATGTTATGTCTGCCGGCTTAGAACGTTAGGTAACTAAACAATTTCAAACAAGAACATAAAAATTACAATTACTCTGTTAAGGTGGCGTAACGCGTACATACAAAAACACTCTAAATACCATTGCTACGATTTAAACCTTCGATATCGGTTTACACATCATTTGACACCCTTAAAAACAATGACAAACGGACTTTACCACTGTTAAGTCTTGCAGCATCGTCATTAACCAGAACAATGCACCTAAATTGTATTCAGACTATAAAAGGCAGGTTTGGTGGCCATTAGATGGTTACCAGAGATGGCTGGGAAAGCTTTTATCACTGATCAGGGCCTTAGTTCTCACTTTAATTTACATCAGTGAGCAGTCACGTCTTGGAGGGTCGATAGTTACCATAAGGAGTCATTGAGTCACTGGTCGTTTGGCTGTGGGATGAAGTGATGTGTGCATCCACTGGCGTCCATGTTTCGTATAAGAAATGGTAAACAGGGAAGCATGTGTCTTCTAGATTTCTTCCTCCTTAGTGTAGATATGGGGATGATTACTGTTTTTGTATAGTTTCTCACTTTTAAAATATGACCCAATTTAATCAGGGTTTGGTCACGCCAGCCGCACAAAAGTATATATGATATGTAAATGTGCGTTGAGAGAGATAGGTGCATGCACATAGTGCCCTAATGTTTTATTTTGTAGGTTTGATACGTTACAGTTGAACATATCAGTCGAAGGGGGAGAAAAAAAATAAATTGAAAGGAGGGGATGATAACAAAACATGTAACTTCCTGGAACACAGTTCCGGAAACCTTCCACAGTTATTAATCTTTTCAAGAAATCCCCTGCAGTAAAAATAAATGTCTTTAGTATTATCAGAGTTACTTTAAGCACAGCCATTTTATCTTTGCCTTTATGTTTAATCGTGATTCTAAATTTTAGTTTGTATAAAACTTTTTTTAATACGTTGGTAATCTACTATGTAATTTTTGCTCTCATCTGATATCTAAAGACCCCTGAAATATATTAATTGAGATTTCATACGTATAAAAAATAATCCTTTCTTGATGTGTGACACTGGTTCATTAACATAATTAGGCCACGCCTATTTCAATTTGTAATCAGAAATGCATGCAACTGTCTTGTTTTCATGTGTGAAGGCAGTTTATTTTTACTATAGACGTACGAAACGACTGAGCGATGACTCACTCTTTAAAGTATGTTAGTAACAGAATTAGATATGGCCCTCATTTAAAAGAAAATTATGGATCAAGATTTTAATATTTATGATATTTTATTTGGGGTATGTATAGGCGTATAGCGCTATGTGTTCCTGGTGCGAGGTGCCCAGTTAATCTGTTATAGTAATACAATCAGGGACATAAAACAGCGCCTACAGGACACACTGTTTCTTGTTTTAATGTTCATGTTTCGATGAATGGAGTGTGATATACTGTTATGTAGGTCTACAGCCTTAATACCAAGTGGTTTGTATTAATGTTGGACATAAACAGGTCAGCCAGGACACCTGCTTCTTATCCTAAAGATTTCTATGTTACATTGCTAACGGCAATCTACTTTGCAGTGTAACTCACATTCTGTTTGTCTTTGTTTCAACGTTGCCAAGATAAGTCGACTTTGCTTCTCTGGTACACAGTATCCCTTTCTTTTTGATGGTGTGGAATACAGTCCTCTTATTTTATGGAGGCTGCACTGTGAATTTGTCAATCACTTTCACGCACTTACCTTGAATTGGGTTGTCGCGCCGTGTAGTCTGGTGGAAGTTCACCAACGCTGCTTCCACCAGGGAGACAGCAGGGTACCTTTAAATCGTCGGTAAACCTCTACCAGAATACATGGCGCGACAACCCAAAAGACAGCCATCTTC